ACCAACATGTTGCAAAAGTAAAAAGCTGCCAACCAACTCAAAACGAAAACTATCAAAAACGACGAATAAACATCTGCTGGGCAACTCTCACACTTACGTTTTGAGAAGGGTAGAAAATGTTGCACTGTTTCTGGTTAGTATACAACATCCTGAGAAAAGAACAAACGAACCCGAAAAATATTTAGAATAGAACACGCAAATTTGACAATCCAAGCATAGGACCGAATAAATGCAACATTTTTGTGTGAAGAGAAAACGCTATTAGGATTCTTCGTGCACAGCTAAGACATCAGTATTTCAGGTTTTATTTGTACGCTTTATTTATTGGTATTAATGGCTGTATGAACACTTATAATACTTACGTACATATGTACATTGAATGGTCATAACAGTCATTGAATCTCATTGTGGCCACTTTGTGTTGTATTTAGTGTGAAATGAATGTTGGTGCTACTGCTTTAGCTACCTCTCCAGTCGCTAACATTATTGTCGTTTATTGTCTGCTTCATTGTGTAGGGATCGATTGTAAGCATGTGCTATAGATTTGTTATATGTATGTAAGTATGTACATATTTGCATTAGTTATTTATGATATTAGTGACAACGAAATGTGCTAGAATAGGGTCTGCAAAGTGGAGAAATATGAGCAGTAAATCAGAAAAATGGCTGAATTGAATATATGTGTATGTGCAAGTTTGCATCATCTCTCCAAAAATGTGGTCCAATTGTGGGATTTTGGGGTATTTCTAAAATACTCTTCAATGATGCTGCAATGAACAAATTTCTGTCTTTACACGAACTTAGTACTTGGGTTTTATTGATCGTAATCATGTTGGGACTTTCTAAGAAAAATTAATTATATACTTTTCAGTATGAATATCCAATTAAATATAAATGTACATGCGACATGGACTAGTGCTTTGAGAGTGGTACCGAAAGTAATTTCTCGCAGGTACGTAGTCCATGGCGTACTCCGATGATATACAGAGACGAATTACATGGTCCTGTCCAAGGAGACTGCGATACCAAATTTTAGAGTACTCTATCATCCACGTGATGTATATTTTATCCATGTATAGAGAACTCACCATTTTTACAGAGATGCTGAATGAATGATATTCGGGAAGTGTAGGCTTAAGGGCACAGCATGATACCCAAACACACATAAAACACATTCATATTCAGTGCAATAATCAAATGTAATCTCTACAAATTTATAATTGGAAAACACTATAAAACGCCCTTGTGCTACATTTTAAAGAGAATTGTGCCGCGTATAGCTTAATTTCTTTTATTTTCTTTAACAAAGGCTATTGTTAAACTAAAAAGTCTATATTATATACACATATTCGTAAATGGGTACATTCGACTTTCCGATAACGCCAAAATATGCAACGTCCATATACTATTGTTGATTGCGATCAGAATTTATTTGTGTCACTCTTATTATTATTTTTATACTCTCGCAACATGTTGCTACAGAGTATAATAGCTTTGTTCACCTACCGGTACTGTTAAAAACTACTAAAAGCGCGATAAATCAAGCACCAAATACACCAGAGTCATTAAATTTTAACTCTGGGATGGTATGAGATGACTTTATAGGAACCGCGTTCAAAATTAGACAGTGGGCGTGGCACCGCCTAATTTTAGGTGTAACATTATTTTCGTATTTCTATGTTATAGTGTGAAAATCGGATTACAACCACGCATATTTTTCATATAACACCATTTTAAATTCCATCTGATTCTTTCACTTTCCACTATGCAAATCAAGCAAAAATGATTGTATACAGGGTAAACCTTTGCGTGAATAATGCGTTTAAAGTATGTCACCTTGTGACAAAAAATTGTCTAAATCGAACCAAAACTGTTCAAGCCCCTAGGTACTGAATATGTGGACCCCAGTGCCTATAGTTGACTTTATACCGAAAATATCGGTCAATGAGTAAAATATATAATTGAAATTCATATAATAAAATAAATAATTGAAACTCTCTATTATAGTATGTCTTTGTGTCAAAAATGGGTTTAATCGGATCAATACTTCTTTTAATATAAAATTTTGCCAACACTTGAAGTAATTTCCCGGGCTTTGATCCTTGCAAGTTGCGAGAGTATAAAATATTCGGTTACACCAGAACTTAGAACTCCTTGCTTGTTTCTTTTTGAGAATGTAATCATCTGCTTCTATGCATGGTATGTACCATATGTATTAAGGAGTGCTTCGGTTATTCTAAACTAAAATATTTATTTTGTAGATATAATTTACTAGTCAAAGATCAAATGATTCTTTGTGTTTGATCGAATGTTCGCCCATGTCAAGTACTTTTTATACTCTCGCAACATATTGAAACAGAGTATAGAAGTTTTGTTCAACTAACGGATGTTGCAATAACTAAAGTCAATCATCGCAGATACAGAATTATAAATGCATTTCAAAAGATCAGGATAATGAAACGATTTGATTTTCTAGTGAGTGTCCGTTCGTCCGCGTAAGCAATAATTGTATGAAATATATTAATGAAATTCAAAGAGCATATTTTCCTTAAAATATTGTAATTTGTCTTTGTGCTATAAATCGGTAAAGTCGGGTCAATAGTTTCTTAGCCTTCATAACCCAATATAAACATTTACGAACTTCCGGTTGACTTCATACCGCATATCGTCATATATCGTACAAAATGAGAATTATCTTAATTATATACAGAGAGTATATTTTTCTGTTAATAATATGTCTTTGTGTAGAAAATGGATAAACTCGGGATAGAGGAAGAGCTCCGATATATGTTTGTACCTAATATAAAGATTTTCAAACATGTCAGACTTTGTACCATGTGGTAACATATATCAATTAATTTGTAAGGTAGCTTAACGAAATCCAGAGTGCTTTTTTCTGGTAATAATATTTGTGACGCCAAAAATTGATGAAATCGGATCCATACTAGTGTCATATACCTAATATAAAGCCGGTTGGTTTTATACCGTATATATCGGTAAATACATATATAAGATATATTATCAAAAGTAAGTAAGCGAATAATATTGAATATTTCATAGTTAAGTGCCAAAAATGTGTGGAATCTGTCTACAAACTACCTCAGCTCCTATGTACATATACTATTTGGTTGAGTACATGTCTCATATATAAAATTTCAGTTAATTAGGTTAGTTTTGATATTATATAAATATTGCAAACACGAAGTTAAATATGACAATAAAACGAAAAGAGTCTATGACCTATAATATAAGTCATGTATGTATATGTTATACAATAATTTCGTCGAATAATGAATGTAGAACTCTTACGCTACATTAAAGTGTTACCAACACCTGAAAGTATTGCCCGATCCCGGATCTCCTTGGAAATTGTAAAAGTATACCGTAAAATGTTCGGTTACACCCTTCTTCAGCTACAGTGTAGTTGAAGTAATACTTATTTTAACTTTTATTTACTTTATTATACTTCTCGATTCTCTATGTTCAAAACCGACCATGAATGTGAAAGATGTATCTTACGCGACTATGGATATCGATATTTAACATACTTGTACATAACATTTAAGTACATATAACTTCTTTATTCTATATTCTGTAAACCACACATTTATAAATTTTTATAATTTTCCTAATCACCTATTCTGTTATCCTTTTCGTGGCCCTTTAAAGAAACGGATTGGCTTTTGACACACAGACAAAATTTATTAGTCGTGACATTTATGAAACTAACAAAAAATATGTGAACGGTGTATCCTAATATTTTATTTAGCAGACTTAGTTTGGCAACAATCGTTATGGCTGCCTATTGAAGTGGCAACAAAGTAGAGCGTATTTCATGCATAAATTTCTAACTAAATTAAACGTATTGATTTCTTTCATAACGTATTCACACATAGATACACACTGATAAAAGCTTAAAAAAGATTTCTTCAATATAAACCGATTCAGTATACAGCATCTAAAGCCCAATCATCCGAGCAAAACCCTTTTAATTTGTTTGCAACTCTTAGGGTGCCTGCAGAGTGGACGCTCAAAGCCGAGCGCAAAGGTGCGAACGCGACAAATCAGCTTTAAAATTGTGCACGTACATTTTCATATAAAATTGCACAGGCGCCGCAGAGTGGAAGTCGAGCGTAAGGCTGGTCAATGCGAGAAAACCAGTTTTGAAGCGTTTTTCGAAGCCGACTCGGGTGTCGCATAGTTCATTTGTATAGTAGTTTCATATTTGGTATTTTGGAGGAATTGCCATGAATGTTGTAGAACAATATTGAGAATACCCGCTTTTAATATTTTCAAGGGAAAAATAATGACGGAAATTCCGTAATTCATCAGAATGTATTAAATACCCACTATTAATATTTTTAAGGCCAAATCTATGACGGGAATTTCCTAATCTTTCTTTTTTGCGTCCTATTTTTTTTCTCACAAAACATTAATTAATTAATTAGATTTCTTATTTTAAATGAAATGATATACGAACTAAACCCTTTGCAGTTAAAAGATACTGTTACGAACAAGAAAAAGAATAGAACGGAACAGTATAATAGCAAAGTACGCGCAGAATTAAGCGCTGAATCTCGCATCTACTCTGCGGTACCTAAAATCGATTAAGGCTGATCGAAATCAGCTTTGCGCTCGGCTCAACTTTCAGTGTCCACTCTGCAGGCAACCTTACCCTCTCAAATGTTTCTATTTGATGTAAAAAAATATTAACCAAACGTTAGCCCTATTGTTTAACTCTAAGGGGTCACTATGTATTTTTATTTCAGTTAAGTTAGTTAGTTTAATTTAATAATATGGGAAAATTTCTTGAATTTACACATAATTGACGCAATTTTTAACAATACTCCATTTTATATTCTTAAAGTTTAGTCTTTGAGCTTTACTAAACTCTAAGATAAAGTGTGATAATCTTTATAAGAGAGTAGTAACAGCCATTTATTTGATTTAATTTACTAAATTTTTAATTTTGGTGAATTAATTTGCAAAAAAAATCTGACCTTTAACATCGCGTAGCACATCAACGTGTAAATATTAACGTACCACTTTCTATTATGAAAAACACATATCCGGCTGGTTTATGATGGTTATGTTATTAATTTTGCTAAAGTATTGGTATAAAATTCTTTACAAAAACACACAAAAAATGATTTGCATTTATTCCAAATCACTTGAAATCATGACCTATTAAGCAGCAACTGACCCTTTTACTAACAGAAAAATATAAGAAGCATACTGAAATGGTTCTTTCTTTGCGTTTAAGTTCTCATGCGGAACTAAATTACATAAGAGGATAAAAAACCGGCAATTTCAATGTGAATGACAAAATGTGATAGGACAAAAGATAATAGTAATAACAAGTAAGGAAGGGCTAAGTTCGGATGTAACCGAACATTTTATACTCTCGCAAAGTCAAATGGTATACTCGTTTGAGATTTCTTTGTGGATTGACTGATATTTTCGGTAGAAGGTCAACTATAGGCACTGGGGTCACTATATTTAGTACTTAGGGGTTTGAACAGTTTTGATTTGCATAGTGGAAAGTGAAAGAATCAGATGGCATTGAAAATGGTGTTACATGGGAAGTAAGCGTGATTGTAGTCCGATTTCGCCCATTTTCGCACTATGACATAGAAACATGAAAAGAACGTTATGCACCGAATTTGGTTGAAATCGGTTGAGCAGATCTCAAGATATGGGTTTTCACCTAAAAGTGGGCTGTGCCACGCCCAATGACTAATTTTGAACGCGGTTCCTATAAAGCCAATTTATACCATCTCATAGATAAGATTTAATGTCTCTGGCGTGTTTAGTGCTTGATTTATCGCGCTTTTAGTAGTTTTTAACAGTACCGTTATATGGGGAGTGGGCGGAGTTGCCACCCGATTTCAACTATTTTCACACCGTCAATAGAAGTGCTAAAAACATTTGCTTCCAGTGAATTTTGTTATTATAGCATTAGCGGTTTAGGAGATATGCACATTAAACCTATTAGAGGCGGGACCACGCCCACTTTTTAAAAAAAATTTTTTAACTGCAGATGCCCCTCCCTAATGTGATCCTGTGTACCAAATAACAGTCTTGTATCTTATTGCGGAGCTTAGTTATGGCAAGTTATTTGTTTTTGATTAATGGCGTTTTGTGGGCGTGGCAGTGGTCCGATTACGCCCATCTGCAATACCAACCGTCTCACGGTACCATGAAACATGTCTACCAAGTTTCATAAAGATATCTCAATTTTTACTCAAGTTAGAGCTTGCACGGACGGACGGACAGACGGACGGACGGACAGACGGACGGACGGACAGACAGTCACCCGGATTTCAACTCGTCTCTTCATCCTGATCATTTATATATACATAACCCTATATCTAACTCGATTAATTTTAGGTGATACAAACAACCGTTAGGTGAACAAAACTATTATACTCTGTAGCAACAGGTTGCGAGAGTATAAAAAGGATTATATTTCCAACAAAAAAGACAAGTGATCGTCTAAATTGGATTGTTTAGAATTATTTCAAATACTTTCGCAACGTAGGTGTAAAAGTAATAAAACCTCATAGTTTTTATATCTTAAACTAGCTGACTCGGCGTCGTATCGTTGGAAAAAATTTATTAGTTAATAATTTAAATGAATTTTAGGAATAATTTCACACACTTATATAACCAATTATATCGGTAATATATAATTTTCTTTCAATTTTTCTTATTTCTATTGCAATGCCTTGTAAAGTATAAAATTCTTTGTTTTTATCTTTTGGTGGAAACACATACATATAGGGCCGATGGTTTGCCGACTCTTGATTACGCAACGTACAACTGACCATGTGGAAAACGTGGCAATTCAAGATTTATTTCACACACTTCTAACAATTGACTTTGGGATTTATTAATTGTATTTGCGAATGCAAGGCGTACTGGAGTAGTGGTATTCTTGGAATAAGAAAATCTTCGCCTTTGAACTTTCCTATGATTATAGTCGCTTCAATTAAATTTTTCATAATTCTTTCATCAGTCTTGTTCCGTTGCACAGTTTGGGTTGATTCAGATTGCGTAACATAATTATCACTGAGCCAACCTGCTAAAATGGCTCGTTTACTCAACCAAGCATGGTTCTTATAATTCTCACTAATATTTGCGAACATCTTTGAGTTTGGGAATTGACAAAAATTTGGTGGAAATGAAATAAAGCCAGTTGAAGCGTCAACAAGAATTCTGCCATTGTCAATGTCTACTAATGCATTTGAAAACACTCCTGCCGGTATGTCATTTTGCAACTCCACTCGCATATTGGTTGTTAATTTACGTTTTTTTACGTTTCTCCATAATTTTGAAGCCTTCAGGCAACCAGCAGCGTTTGGCGAAAATCACCAAGCAATAGAATAATCGCACCTCCGAAGAGGTTCTGATTACTGCGTAAATTTTTATTGTTCGATCGAGTGCCTCTAATGTTCGTTTGTGCGATATCGTACACTCATCCCAGATAATAATTTACAATTTTGTAAACCTTTGGCCATTGCCGATGTTTTGGTTATATTACATGTTAGATCCCGAATTGTATCTAAAACTAATGAAATCAAAAAAGTTTTACCGGTTCCACCGGATGCATGAAAAAAAATCCTCCATCGCCATCATTTACTGCTTTCATAAACCTAACGTAACCTATTGTTTGCTGCCGATTTAAAAGTGGAACTTTGCTTTGTACGGATTGACTCAAAACATTTATGATATATTGCCGTTCTCGTTCAAACTCACGATTGAATGTACCGTGCATGGGTCGATGGTGTAGGCATTGATAATTCACGCAGCATCTTGCCGGACATTGTCACGTAAAAATCTTCTAATGATACTGTCTTTGTATTTGTTCCACAAATGATGTAGATTTGAAATAAGGATGGCAAAAAGTGATCGAATCCCAATGATTATCATCCTCCAGTAATTTTAAACGTTATTAGCACAACGTTGATTCACTTCATTTTCAGAATTTCCTAAGAAATAAATTTGAAAAAATTTGTATTCACCATTAACTGATGACAACAATGCTCCCGCACAGATTTGTATATTAATATAATATGTTATTTAGAGAATAATCAATAACTTAAAACTTGGATTGAAACCACGTTGTTCAATAACATGATGTCATTTGGATCATACTGTTATAACTTTGAATATTTTGCAAGAAATGCTTTGATATAGAATCTTAATTGAATTGTTTGGGTGGTGTCATTATTCTAAAATCAACCGATTTAACCCCAGCGTTATCGACTGTTGCATCATATCTAAACTCCAAACGTCCATAGGTCATTGTTACATTTGATCGTCTGTTTAATTGTCTCTCGCCTGAAACGGATGGTATGGGTTCTTCCTGGGAGGTGGTAGATCTTGATTGAGGAATTTCTATCCCATTTGCTTCCAAACGCTGACATCGCTCTTTGGTCTCATTGTTTCGAAAAACACCCACTTGCATTACGCCAATATTTTGACTCCTTCCTGGAGGCATTTTTAAGAACACACACTACACAACTTCTAAACTCACATCCAATCACACAAAATCACGTTTAACCTCTAAATTATTATCAATACAACGTCCGTCAGCCGCGCCCAATAGTCTTTTTCTTCTTTAAAACAATCAATTAACTTTTTCTCTTCCTTTTTTTAATAGGTTTGGGTGTTGATGCTTCCCTATCACCGACATCTTAATCAATTAGGGTATGGCATCTCAAGTGAAAGAAATTGTTGAAATCGGACCAAAGCTGTTTAAGAACCGAATATGTAGATCCCATACCTATGGCTGAGTTATACCAAAAATATCGGTCAACCTATGCGATATAGTATTGAAAGCCAAACTTCCTCTAGCCATTATAAACCTCATATAAAGATTTTCGAACTTCCGATTGTCCCGCATATATCGGTCAATATGTGAATTATCTTAATGAAATTCAGAAAGGATATATTTCTAATCAATGTGCATCCTTGTGCCTAAAATGGATAAAATCTAGCTCCACATATACCTAATATGAGGGTTTTCAAACATCCGGTTGGCTTTATGCCTTATATTATATATTAGTCAACCTGGTCACAAATTGATAAAATTGGGTAAATACTACCCTTAGCTCCCATATACCTAATATAATATTTGAAATTTTTGGTTAGCTTTATGTTGATCGGATCGGTTTCACCCGAAATTACCCCTTCACTTGTTTAGTTATGATTTTAATATATTTTAATTAATCATGCAGTTAAGCACCAACTATTATTAATGGTTATGATGAATTTTCTCTTCTGAGCAGGTCACAGCGGTGTAAATCAGTTAGGTGGCGTATTCGTGGGCGGACGCCCACTACCTGATTCTACACGACAAAAAATCGTTGAGTTGGCCCACTCAGGAGCACGACCTTGTGATATATCGCGCATATTGCAAGTTTCTAATGGCTGCGTCAGTAAGATTTTGGGCAGGTTAGTAGTACTAGTTTAAAAATATTTATAAGCAAAAACGAATCAAACGTTATATCTACCTAAAAAGAAATTTAATACAACTTCTTTTTTTGGTGAATGTCTTTCAGATATTATGAAACTGGAAGCATCCGACCACGAGCTATAGGTGGTTCTAAACCACGTGTAGCCACCGCGGAGGTTGTAAGTAAGATTTCACTTTACAAACGCGAATGCCCTAGCATTTTTGCGTGGGAGATACGCGACCGGTTGTTGCAGGAAGGCATTTGCACCAACGAAAATATACCTAGTGTAAGTTATTCAACAAACTAAAATTACTCCCGTGTAAATTATTTTTATAACAAAAATAATATTTAGAAAGTTTATATTTTATTCAAATGTTTATTGTACATATTATATTGCCCCGTAAACCGTCCGTTTACGTGCCACAATTCTTTCATCCCTAACCGCAGATGAGCCAAAAATTAATCCAAGTGTATGCAGACATTAGAAAAAACCACAAATAAGAGTACATAAGGTCAAAATAGCGAAATTCTACAGTACTAATGCTATCTGCTACGTTAACTTTATTTTTAAGTTTTACTCGTGTTGTCACCAACTTTCATTCAGTTGCACGACCCCCATTGTCCTTAATTTCTTTTTCCTCCCAATCGTTAACACCTCTATCCACCCTTACTGGTGCAATCATTTTAACACTTATTTAGTATTTCTTATTTTCTCCATTCAACTTTTCTTATTATATACTTCTCGCTCTGTTGCTTAAACGCTTCAATGGTTGGAACGCGCTTGTATTCATTCAAGCAAGCAAATCGACGTACGCACAACTTCTCTGTCGGAGTGTTCAAGCCAATTGGAAGTGAGGGCATCAATTTTGGTTTGAAGAGTGTGAAAACCTCATTGTCGTCGTGACAAGCGTGACGGAATGACAGTTTTTATTTAATATTTAATTTAGGGGTGAATAATTTAGAATGCTAAATGTTTGAGGTATATGTATTTGTAAGTCTATAGATATATACAGAAGAAAATATACGAGCATTATTGATACCTTTTGCTTCAAAGACTGACCGGTTTACATTGATTTAAAAACCTTGAGACAATGTGACGAAACTAATAAGCCATCCTTTATTTTTATATTTTCCTCCACATACGCTATATCTTCTATATATATTGTCACTTTCAATCACACATAAATATTAAAGTAATTTTTAATTGATGATTTGAATATATTTTTCATCATATATCCTGTTACATTTCATATATATGTATACGTAAACATACATATTAAGTTTGCTACGAAGTTAGAATAACCAGAAGGAAGGGTTAGAGACCCTATAAAATATATACATACGTACTCGTATGTATCAGCTTGACGAGTTGAGTCGTTTAAGCCATGTCCGTCTGTCCTTTCGTCAGTTTGCATACACGCGAACTAGTCCCTCAGTTTTTGAGATGTCGATCTGAAATTTTGCACACGTCCTTTTCTCAAGTTCTTGTATGGAGTCTTTCGTATTTGAAAAGGGTATTATAGCTACAGTGCAACCAAAATTAACGTCTTTTATTACATTTTGAAGCCGCAAAACTTGTGTAAATATATGAAAATATTTGCATTGACAGAAAATGTTCATTAGTTTAATTTATGTTGAAGCTACCTTAATTTTATATTTAATGTAATGAAGTTCTATTTTAATTTGGTATTTTTAAAAATTAATTATAGATATTTTGATAAATACAACTTTTTTAATATTATGTTATTTGAGTTAAATAATTTTTAAAAATTAATAAAGGATATTTTGATAATATAATTATATTTCAATAGTTTTTAATATTATGTTATTTGAATTAAATCATTATTATTATTGATTGCTTTTGTAAATCCACACATTATTATATTAGTTTGATACATAACAGAGCTAGGGTAGTATTTCATCTAGTAAATAATACCGGGTAAAAAAATTTACTTGTTAGGTTTATACTAGTTGCGCGGAAATTTACCACTAGTTTATATCCCGCAGGCATATATGTATTAGAGCGGATTGATTTACAGGGAGCCAAAAAAACGGGAAAATCGCGTATGCGGGAAATGTTCTACAGAACATTCTGAACAACTTTGCCTAAGAGAATATGTGTGTAAAACCGGTTTGGAGCCAGCAACTATAACTTACTATATCTTATTCAGAAAAAACGGATGACTTTTTCCTTGTCTCTTTGAGTTTTTAATTGAAAATTATAATTCATAAAATGAAAAATATTTTTCGAATGCGGGATGAACTTGTTATGAATATACACTTAAAACGTATTTTATGCTTTTTTGTTCTATGTTGTTGTATGTTATACATAGTTCATAGTCCGATTTTCTTCATTTTTACTGTCATTGTTAAGTATATATTAGAGGAATATTATGAAAAATTACAAGCTCTTTAGTTTTTGATTGAGGACATTATTCTAGAAAAAAATCTATATAATTGGTTCTATGGGAAATATATGATAATACTATTTAGTTGTCCGATTATCGTCACTGACATTGTTAAGTATATATACTTGTAGAGAACAGTTCTACAAAATTACGTGCTGTTAGCTTCTTAATTAAAGGCAGGCAACCGAAAAATAAAATATATATATGAATAATCGGTTGTATGGGAGAAATGTTATATAGTTGTCCGATCTGGCCGATTCCGACAAATAATCAATAGAATCTCAAAATGCACCTATGAATTAAATTTAAACTTCAGCTAAAAAATTAATGCCTCGAAACCGATTTTAGACCCACATTCTCTTAGGCAAAGTTGTTCCGTAGAACGTTTCCAGCATACGCGATTTAATAGAAAAAAATCTACCCGCTCTAATATGTATAGGTATTAAAACATAGAATGGAAACATATACATGTATAAATTGTGTGTAGATATATATATGCATGGTGGTTTCACATACGAGCTCCCTCAAAATTTTGTATGATAATTTTTTTGTGAACTTTTTTCGCCATCTCTCAGTTTGCGACATTTCTGTAGTGATTTTTCCACATGAATAGACACCCTTACAAAAGTAGTAAGGTATTGCATACTAAGCCAACGAGCATCCTGCCATCCTGTCACATGACCGCACATTTTTAACACCCAACTGCCGAACACGCGCAGCCAACAGCACTTCTACTACGGCAAACGATTTCTCCGTTCACTTAGTAAACAATAACGTAAATGATGTACCCACAAAAAGTTCAATACATAACTGAATTTGATTACAATGCAAATGCTACAACAAATAGCAATAATAAAAAGCCAACTAAATCAAACCTAAAGGGCTGACTAAAATTGGTGACAGTAAGAAAAACAAGCCGAAGTTCTTTTAACAAAAGAAATTTGCTAAATGGCGCAATATAAATAAAATAATACTATTTAAAGTACTGTACAAGAAAAAGCAAAAATGCCAAATACCAAATATTGGAAAAATGCTCAAATAAATTACAGGTATAATAACACAAAAACCATGAACTCACAATACATTCAAAATAACTACCATACAACAAAATCCGTAGCGTTGAAAGCAAATTGAGTGTGAGATGTCTTGCGATGAATACTGAATGGTGTAGGATATGATCTTTACAGTTTTATCGCTCAAAGGAGAGTTATAATTTTGTCTATTTAATAGGTATTCGTAAATACATTACATTTTAAAATTTCATGAATGCAAGAATGTATACATATGTTACTTTTTTGAACAACTAAGGTAGCGCTTAGTTCGAGAGTAACCGAACATTTTATACTCTCGCAATTTTTGAAGATCCGAGCCGGGGGCATATTAACAGGTATTGGCAAGGAAAGAAAAAACGTAACTACGGTTGCACCGAAGCTATAATATTCTTCACAAATTCAAAATATTCGTTACAAGAACTTTGATCGGTCAGTTTGAATAGTAGCTATAATTGTATGCTATAGGGACTCGATCTGAACAATTACTTTGGAGATTGCCCCGTTGCCATGGGTTGCCATGCCAAATTTGGTTAAAAAATCTCGTCTATCTATACAAGCGCCTGATTTCGATCGGTCAGTTTGTACGCTAGCTATACGTTATAGCAATGCGATCTAAACAATTTCTCCTAAAAGTTTTTCATACAACCACTTGATTCCGATCGTTTAGTTTGTATGGCAGCTGTATGCTTTAATGATGAGATCTAAACAAGTTCTTCGGAGATTACATCATTGCTTCAGGTAACCCATACCAATTTTCGGAAAGATTTCTCCTCAAATGAAAAAGTTTTCCATACAAGTATAAGCACTTGATTCTGGTCGTTCAGTTTGTATGGCAGGTATATGCTATAGAGATCCGGTCTAAAGAACTTCTTCGGAGATTGCTCCATTGCCTTAGACAATAATCCATGCCAAATTTCTTAAAGATGTTTCTTCAAATGAAAAAACTTTCCATACAAGTACTTTATTTCGATCGGTTAGTTTGTATAGCAGCTATGGCTATATGACGGACATGGTGAAATCGACTCAGCTCGTAACGCTGATCATATATATATATACTTAAAATGTCTTTGACGTTTTCTCTTAGGTGTTACAAACATCGTGGCAATAAAAATGTTTCATTCAAACTTCATAGTTCGATGAAACTATGTTGGATTACAATCATATTTGGTATATTATCTAATAAGTATATAAAATTCTCGTTATTTAATATTATTCGTCTTTAACTCACTTAGTTTCATTACTACAATACATTTAGCTTTATCTAGGAATCAATCATGACTCAAATAACACACATATTGACCGATATAAACGATACCTATAAAGTCATCCGAAAGTTCGAAAATCGTAATACTTGGTATATGGGGTCTAAAATCGCGTAAATACATCCCGATTTTGCCCATTTTAAACACCAGGGCACAATAATATAACTATATTTCAATAATATATCACACAGGTTGACGGATAATTTTCACTAAAAAGACAACCGAGAGCACTGGGTCCGTATTTTCGGTATCTGACTACTTGAAAAGTTATGGTCCACTTTCGACTACTATTAGACGTTAGATGGTATAACTTAAGGCACTATTTATCCAAAGATTTAGGTTGTATACTCGTGGTTGTATACTGATTTCGCGCGTTTACACAATGTAATATAAGAATGTCGATGCAATGTTATGCATCAAATTTGGTTGAAACTGATCGAATAGCTCCTGAGATAAACATTTCAACTAAAGGTGAACGGCGCCTTACAACTTTTACAATTTTAGCACCGACTCTTATGACGATGTGAAACTGATTGCCGCTTACGTATTTATTTAGTGAGTTATTGCATTTTCAATACATTTCAAAACAACAGTTATGTATATGGGGACTGGGCGGGGTTATCATCCGATTTCAAACCTTCATCACACTGTACGAAGAGGAGCTCAGCAAGTTTGGGTGATTGGTCTGTGAGACATGTACATTTATCCTATAAGGTGGCGGGGCCATCTAAAAAATTTTTAATCACACTTGCCCCTCTCTACTACGACTACCGAGTCACAGATTTGTGTCTTTATTGCGTCTTAGTTATACCACTTTATGTGGGCGTGAAAATAGAGCGATTTCGATATTTTGCAATACCAATCTCCCTGGAGTGCCAATCAACACATCAACACCAAAGTTGTCGCTTGCACAGCAGTCACTCGGAATTCAAATAGACTCGTCATCCTGAACTTTTACTCGTATAACTCTATATATCTCTCTATTGATTTCAGATGTTATAATTTACCGTTAGGTGAACAAAAATATCATACCCGGTTGCGAGCATATAACAATGCTTATGTAAAAAAAAAGTGACATATAACTGACAAGTTTTTGAATAAAGGTCTTCAAAGTTTGCAAATAAACAAATAACAGTTTGAATGGAGTATTTATTTCAATATATTTTACATAGTTAAGAAAATTATTACAGTACACTTTTTTAAAATACTTATATTGATTTACTTATCAAAAGAACTAGCTGATTATTCAATTCATTATAACTCATATGATATCATCGGTGAAAAAAGTGATTTCCACAATTTTGCAAAATACTTGTTAGTCTCTAAACCACTCACTAAAGTTTCTAACTATAGGTTTCGTTCAAGACAGAGCTAAAATATCTAAATCCCATTATCTTGATCCTCACAGTATGTTAAAATGACTATCCTGGGTTCTAAAGTACAGAACACAATTGCTTAGCGTGGTGAGTTATCTGAATAACTTTCCGAAAAATGACAACATTTTTAAAATAAAACAAGAAACAAGTAAGGAAGGGCTAAGTTCGGATGTAACCGAACATTTTATACTCTCGCAAAGTCAAATGGTATACTTGTTTGAGATTTCTTTGTGGATTCACTGATATTTTCGGTAGAAGTTCAACTATAGGCACTGGGGTCCACATATTTAGTACTTAGGGGCATGAACAGTTTTGGTTCGATTTAGACAATTTTTGGTCACAAGGTGACATACTTTAAACGTATTATTCACGCAAAGTTTTACCCCGATATAATCATTGTTGCTTGATATGCATAGTGGAAAGTGAAAGAATCAGATGGAATTGAAAATGGTGTTATATGGGAAATAGGCGTGGTTGTAGTCCGCCCATTTTCGCACTATAACATAGAAATATAAAAATAACGTTGTGTACCGAATTTTGTTAAAATTGGTTAAGCAGATCTCAAGATATGTGTTTTCACCTAAAAGTGGGCTGTGCCACGCCCACTGACTAATTTTAACGCGGTTCCTATAAAGTCATCTCATACCATCCCAGAGATAAAATTTAATGTCTCTGGCGTGTTTAGTGCTTGATTTATCGCGCTTTTAGTAGTTTTTAACAGTACCGTTATATGGGGAGTGGGCGGAGTTGCTACCCGATTTTAACTATTTTCACACCGTCAATAGAAGTGCTAAAAACATTTACTACTAGTGAATTTTGTTATTATAGCATTAGCGGTTTAGGAGATATGCACATCAAACCTATTAGAGGCGGGACCACGCTCACTTTTTAAAAAAATTTTAACTGCAGATGCCCCTCCCTAATGTAATCCTGTGTACCAAATAAAAGTCTTGTATCTTATTGCGGAGCTTAGTTATGGCAATTTATTTGTTTTTGATTAATGGCGTTTTGTGGGCGTGGTAGTGGTCCGATTACGCTCATCTGCAATACCAACCGGCCAGTCACCCGGATTTCAACTCGTCTCTTCATCCTGATCATTTATATATATAAGCTGCCATACAAACTGAACAATCGGAATCAAGTGTTTGTATGGGAAACTCTTTCATTTGACGAGGTATCTTCACGAAATTTGGCACGGACTATTATTTGAGGCAACAATGTAAGAAATTATTTAGATCGGATGACTATAGCATATAGCTGCCATGCAAACTGAACCATCGGAATGAAGTGCTTATATGGAAAACTCTTTCATTTGACGAGGTATCTTCACGAAATTTGGCACGTATTATTATTTAAAGCATTAATCTAATCTCCGAAGAAATTGTATAGATCGGATGACTATAGCATATAGCTGCCATATTAACTGAAGGATCGGAGTAAAGTGCTTGCATTGAAATTTTTTTTATTTGACGAGGTATCTTCACGAAATTAGGCACGAGTTATTGCTTAAGGCAACAAATTATTCTCCACAGAAATTGGTCAGATCAGATCACTATATCATATAGCTGCCATACAAATTGAACGTTCGGAATCAAGTTCTTGTAAGGGGCCTTTGTATTTGTGAAGGGTATTATAGCTTCGGCGCAACCGAAGTTAACGTTTTTTCTTGTTTTCTTCAAATATCGAAGAAAATCCTAATTTTCAATCAAAAAGGCTCACGTCAAAATACCTAATTTTTATGTATGTTGAATCCTTTACTTTCTGATGGTATAAAAATCATATACATTTTCATGATAAATTTTCTCAGAAAATGCAAAAAATTACCCCACTAAATAGCTACTACTACGAAATAATAAGTAGTTAACTAAAAATCAGCTTTGAATCGTTTCAGCTGTTTAGCGGTAGGTCAACATAAGGAGAAAAAATAAATATTTTAAACAAAACAAGTACAGTGGGTTTGGGACATAAGTAGCTAAGGTTGAAGCAAATTTCGTGAAAGAAACGAATTTTCTGTACAATATAAAAATAAAAAAACCAGATAAATCCAGTCTACTGGACGTTTTAAATTATATTTGGTGAAACGAATTAATATTATATATATCGTTCTAAAATTATTTACGGCAATACGGGTGTTGCTATCACTTCCTGTGTAGGTAACTACTGGAGGGCGCGGTTTTTCTAAATTGAAACTCTACGATGTGTCTAAAAAAACTAGCAGGCTTGCCAACATTATTAATTGAAAAAAAATGGTACAAACTGTTAACAATAAAACAGTTTTGTCTGATTTATTCAAATTTAAGGCACGAAAATATTAATATAATTAACTTTTTTTATTGTATATAGTTTAGGATATAATAAATGATAAACAATTAATTCCAATACGCACATTTTGTTGACGTAATAAAGTCTAATGCTGCAACTTTTTAATGGGAATTTTAACTGTATTTCATACCTTTAATATTTTCGCTCACAATTTTTATATACTTAAACAAAAGAAACATTTCAGTGTTAAAAATATGAATTCTTCGGCATTTTCGTATTTCAAATTTTACTATTGCTGGCACTGCGCTCGTAGCCCTTGTTTTTTTCGTGTAAGGATGTTTTTGCCTAATTTTTCCAGTTAGCTGAACTTTCCCCTTCCGGCTCAAAGCGCCTGCCTTGTGCTACCTTTTAAATCACAGTCTATGCTGCTGTTTGTGCCGAGCTGTCAACAACAGACATTGCAGCGTATTAAACTGAAAAAACAACAACAAAAAAGGTAACGACAAGAGCAACGGAAAAAAGCAACAACTGCACCAAAAAACAAAAGTAAATGAATCGACATAGAGTAAAAGGGCAAAAATGTGCGACAGCTGCTGTCCCAGTCAGTTAGTCAGTTAGACTGCAGGCGGCATGCAGCTGCTAAACAAGCAATCAGGGCTCCTTTAACTTATATCGGTTCTAGCCTAGTCTGGACCTAAAAGGATGACAACCAAAACATATTTACGCATACACACAACATATACAATAGGCACTTTCGTAAAAATGCATATGTTTGTATGATAGTAAGATTGTGCATGTGCACAAGGGAGCAAGGATGGGGATAATGTAAATTTCTTAACAAATTTAAATTTTTCATTAACAAGAATTTATGTGTGAGATTTTACGGTATAAATTGAGAACATCACAAAATTACCAGCCATGTATGTAATACAAGTCACAAAGGCTCTGCAGGTTGTTGGAGCATTGCATTCAAACAATTGAAAAAAAAACTGCCTTGCACTTATGTTAAAATTTTCAGTTTCCAATTTCATGAAGCCATGAACTTACTTATGCATCAAATAGTACATCTGTTTTCCCTTCCAACATACTTTTAATATTGATGTTACTTCGTAAATTCTTCTAAATTGGAATTAAAATTTCCGATTTTGGGGGGTTTTGACACCCACTGACGCAACTGATCTGAATATTGCATAGAACATATATGTATGTATACGTATGTACATATTACTTTTAGCTATACATGCATTATAAAACTATTTATGTGAATATACCTTTGTTGTCGATAAATTGTTTAGGTTTCCTCTATAAATCGAGTACTGCGCAATCTGGCCGCTCAAAAGGAACAACAGCAACAGCAAAGCTCGCTCCTTACAAATGGCAGTAACAGCAATGGGGGCAGCGCAAGCAGTGCTAATAGCAACCCGAATACAACCAATCCAACAGGCAGCACGAGCGCCAGCGGCTCACTGGGCGGTTCTAGCGGAGGCAGCGGTGTGAATATGCAGTTACGGACCACTCACACACCTCTAAACTCTGATGGCAGCGTGGGGAGCAGTGTAGATGATGGCGATGCCTCTGCGAATAGAAGCTCTGTTGTTAGCGGAGCGATTAGAGATACCACCACAGATGCTATGTATGATAAGCTTCGCCTACTAAATGGCCATCGTCAACTTGGGGGCGTCGGCTCATTGCATCCATCTACAGTCATTTCAGCACCGACGGAGGCTTCGGGCCCAGCGCTCCTACATAACCTTCATCCTCCACAGCAGATGCAACCGCAACTTCATCACCATCATCATTCGGTACAACCAAACACGCATCCGCAGACTCATTCTCATATGCAGGTTTCGACAACTACTCTACCGCCTCAATCGCATACCGCAAATACGTTAGCGCTCACACATCACCATCCTCAACATGCTGTGGTTAATCAGTGTTGGCCCCCACGCCACTACTGTGCCTCATGGTACTCACCTCCTTTAAGTGGTGGACTTTCCAATGGAGCTCTGCCCAGTGGCGCAAATAGCGTCGGTAGTTCTGCTATGTCAACACCCTCTAAAATTTTGACCTCAGCCTTTGCAACAGGTGTACAACCGCTGAGTCCGCATAGTGGCAGTGGAATGGCAAATGGAAACACCGGCAATGGCCATAATGGCAGTTTATCGTCAGCGCAACGCAACAGCTGCCCAATAAGCGATGACTTAATGCTGAAAAAAGGTAAGCGCACCTGCATTCCTTTTCTTTAAGTTAAATATATGTAAGTTCAATGAAGAAACGCACATATAGCTTAAACTACATTTTTGTTTGTATCTAATTACATTTTACATTACACACATACATACTTATTAATATTCCTTGCAAAATTAGCCTGTGTTATAAGCATACCAGTACATAGATTCGTTAAGTTATCTTACGTAGTATTTAAGACATTTACTTACATGTCCACCGAAGATTCGAATTCGGGTACGTATTTACCATAAATATGTATCTTTGGGAAGGTATTAACTGATATTATTAAAACATCATTAATTGATAATATCATATAACACTAAACGAAACATTATCGCACGGTTATATGCACATATCTCACACGAAAACTAATATTATATGATAACGAGGGGTTGGAACTATCAATTTTCAAGCTCCCGAGCGAAGCTAACTTCTCTGTTTTCACATGTGCACAATCGTTCTGCTTTTATTGAACGGACTACATGTGAGCAGCAATCACAAAGCAGTATACCTATCGACCCTACAGTACGTTTATCATTTAACGGAAAAGCGATTTTAGTTAGTCACCTTTATACCCACAGGGTATGTAATACAATGTTCCGACCAAAAATTCGAAGTGATTAGATTACACCATTAGATCGACCTTTTCTCGTCCAATAAACGTTTTTTTTGGTTCTAAATGATAAATAAAAAAATACAACTTTGAATCGTCAAAAAACGTTTATTGTACGAGAAAAGCACGACCATCGAAAAAGTGCATGTACACTTGGGAAACTTGTCTCATGTACATACATACATATGTACATATATTATATAATACATATTGAGGAGGATACAGCCAATTTTCAAAAATTCTGTGTGAAACTGATGTTTCAACACACTCTTTACAATTACATTCGTACTTACAAATTTATATGCATATGTGAATGACGATTTGTCTACGCAATAGCCACGTGTGTCGCACTGTCACTACAGCTCAGTGTCAGTGCTGTGGTCAGTGTCACGCATAAAACATGATTGCGTAGTGAAGCGATGCTTATTGTCAGTTTGAATTATTTGCCGAGCCGATATACTGGCAAAAAGTTGCTAAACAACTACTCAAAAGCTGAAATATGCAAACGTTACTTTTTAATATAAACATATAAAGACATACATTATGTAATATCGTGTATGGCTTTGGTGCTTACATATAAATTTGTTATACGAAAAGCGGTATACATCAAGGGGAATACAAATATCAAATGATATACATACTTAGTTGTAATGCCTCTGACATGCAATGTTTTCTCCATCAAACTCAACAACGCTAATACTTTGATAACTGTTTGACTCTTTTGGGTATTTATTTACAGAGAAGCGCCCTACTAAGCAGACCTAAATAAAAATTTACTTTTGTAAATACAAAAGTTTCTTTTAAAATTATGAAATTTTAGATGATTAATAAATAAATATAGTTAAAAAAGTAAAAACAACGATTTTAAAGCACTTCAAACTAAAAAGTGAAAAATAATTCCTTATATAAACTGATAGAAATATTGGCCGAAAAATACTTGTATTATTGTGAGAAAAGTCTGGTATGCACGAAATACGAAAAATGCACAAACCATCCAACCCTCCTCTCACAATAATACAAGTATTCTTCGGTCAATATTTCTGTCAGTTTATCTAAGAAATTATTTAAGTGCTATAAAGTGCTTTAAAGGCATGTTTTTTTTACCATTTTAAATAATACTCATTATTTAGCCACATGTGGTTTTTTCACTTTCTTTAAGGATGCATTGGAGTAAATTTGTTATTAAAAAGGCAGCATGGATAGCTGCATAGTTTTAAGGACATCTTTTTTGCAGGATGGATAGTTCATGCTTTTGCTGCATAGTTTTATAGTCGTTGTATAATTTCGCTTATTCGCTGGTTGGGTTAGCTTCAGCGGTTTAGATGATATGTAAGTTCTTTTTCTGGACTTACATACCTCACCTTAAATTACGATTTTTGAAAATAATTTCCCTAATATAAAATTGATCTAACTCTAAATTTTAACCAAGATTTTAATAGAAAATTCCAATCCATTAACTATGATTTTATTTAATCTTATCTAACCTTATGTACTTATAATTACTATAAGTGCGATTTAAAAATTAACCTTAGAATAGAACATCATTTATATTTTAAAACTACTATCATACAATTAATTATCGTAACTTATAATTACTGATACGTTGTCGCACTGAAAAGCACGTTTTCATTAAGTGCTGTTATTTATCGTTTAGAACCAAAAAACGTTTGTTGTACGAGAAAAGCTCGACCATCGAAAAAAAGCAGGTATACTTGGGAGATTTTGCCTCTATGCGTTCTAATGTATAATTCGTATTAAAAAATATTTTTTATTTTTTTGAATATAAATATTATTATAATTATTGTTTAATAACAATACAAAGAAATATTTATTAAACTCTTAGAAAAACCAGTAAGAAAGGGCTAATTTCAAGTGTAACCGAACAATTTATACTCTCGCAACTTGCAAGGGCCAAAGCCGTCGAAATACATACTTATAGGTGTTGGCAAAACTTTATATTAAAAAATGTTGCGGAAGATTTCAACATTTATTATTCGACGAAATCGTGAATAAATTACACTCAAATTTGGTATTTTATTAAGTTATATTATAGGTAAAAGACACTTTGTTAGTTTTATTGCTATATTTTACTTCGCCAAATGAAATAAATGTTATATAAACTCAACCGAAGAGGCTTAGTTTAATATATTGAGTTGATGTGGTAAACCAGTCAACCAGAGAATCGAAACTTCATATATTAAGGATATGATGTTTAGCCCAAATCCAATAATATTCAGTGGTAAACCACATAATTTTTCCTTTCCTTCTATTTAATTTCATTAAAATATCACATATTTTGACCGACGAGTACGGTTTAAAGTCTGGTGAAAAGTCAGAATTCATTATATACATATGCTATATTAGGGCAGAGAAAAGGACGAGCTGATTGCATTAATTTAAACATTGTTAGGGTTGACCCGATTTTATCTATTATTAGCAATATCAAACACTATTAACATACCACTTACTAATAAGATGCTCCCTGAGTTTCATTAAGGTACACTTATCATCATCAATAACATGCATTAAGACCAGAAGGTTTCCAGAAATTGATGGCCCACAATTCCGGCCGCTTACGACGAATGTTTTCGCGCAAACGCCTCAAAACGCTCAAAAAATACTTTTTATTGACCGTCATGATGAATCAAACCGCGAATATCGAAAAAAATCCATTTCCGGAAACTTTCTGGTTTCATGGTACAACATGTTGCTGCAGCGTATAATGAACGATTTGAAGACCAAAAACTCGTTCAATACCATAGATTAACCACCGTATTCACCGGATTCGGCCCCATGCGACTTTTTTTTGTTTCCAAAACTCAAGTTACCACTCCGTGGAACCCGTTTCGCCTCGATTGAGGCCGTGAAAGAAAATCCGCAGAGGGAACTGAAGGCGATCGCGGACCCGGGCCTACAAGGCATGTTTCGATGATTGGAAAAAGAGGTGGCTTCAGAAGGCGACAAAATAAATATTGATGAAGATTAAAAAATTTTCGTTTTATTTACAATTTCCGGAAACTTTCTGGTTCTGGATGTTCGAGAAACGTAATATTGGCTATATGGGGACGAGGACAAATTTTTACCCAATTTGATGCATTTAAGGCACAAAGATACATTGCTATTATTAAAACACTCTTGTTTTTACTAAGATAACCCACATATTGGCCGATATATGCAGTATAAAGCAAACCGGAAGCTCGAGAATCTTTGTATTAGGTATATGGCGCTAAGAAAAGCCTTCAACCAATTTTCGACATACAGGCATAATGTAATAAGTATTTTTCTCGATTAATAATGTATTTCTGCATTTTTAAATGTCTTTTTCCAGGTCTATGTCCGTGCAAAAACAATGTCATCCATTCCTTTAACTAGCTTTAATAGACAGTAATGTAAAAACACACTAATGCAAATGCGCGTAAATAAGTTTTAACGCTCTTCAAGGTGAAAGATCGTTTTCCTGAACAATTCGTAGCGGGAATACTCAAAAGCATACGTAGGTAAATGTCTACATTCGATTATTTTCGATCTAGATAAAAATTAAAGTTTTATTTTGCCTTCTTTCCATTTTTATAAAAATTGGATTGGGATAAATAAGATTTATTTTGAAAAAAAACTTCTATAAACAAAAAAAAACTTTAAATTTCAAACAAATACCAAATGTTTATTAATATATTATTTAACGCCTAAAGAGAATTGATTCACATAAAAAATTAAAACTAATTTTTAGAAAAAAATTTTGGTATATAACTTCGACCCTAAAATTCTAAAGTTCTGAAAATAAATCTATCTATAGATATTGTAATAACCTTTTAATACAAATTTTCATAAAAAAACATTTCTAAAACAGCTTCTAATCGGTTCATTATGAATATATTTAATACATCTTAATTAGAGTAACTGGTAAATTTTAATTAACTTTATTTCTGTGGCTCTTAACTCGAACGGAGGCATCATCCGCTATCACTTATCGCGTTTTTTAATACTTAGTGAAAATTTTGTTATTTAGCAAATTGTCAAGCATACTTCAAGTATGTTGAAGCATTTCCTGGATTTGGCTCTAACTCTGCGTTGAGTACAGAGTTTGCAACACATTCTTGCAAATATTTCATTATGCTAATAGCTATCAACTTGTAATATATTTTGGAATAGAAATATAACAACTATTAAAAACATAGCACCATTTTAACAGGGATGCTGTAAACCATAGTAGCCCCAGTACGTTTCGCGTATTATCTCATACACATACGTACATTATGTACGTGCATGACTCGAAGCATGATTTGTTCACTTCAATCTACGATTTCACGTTTACTACTCATTTCAACAACATTTCAAGATTTGTGTTTACTTATACTTCTATTTGATTTTTTTTATT